TATTATGAGATAGGATTCTAATGTGAGACGCCGTGTCGATCCAGCGATTGGACCGGGAGCCATTAATTAGACCAACAACAACAACATCTAATGTGAGACAGTAAGTTTACAACGTCCAAATTCGATCACAACCCAGTGAGAAATGATTCGTCGATCGACGTCGAAATGATGTCGAATCGACGTCGATTCTCACTGGGAAAGCTAAGGTAAAATTGCTCACGAATTGTCTGCGTGGTGTCACTAGTATTTCAGAAAAAATATTACACATAGAGGAAAGTTCTCTATCATGAGATAGGATTCTAATGTGAGACAGTAGGTTTACAACGTCCAAATTCGATCACAAATCTTTTTTCGCAATGATTACACGATCTAACAATCAATTTTCCACTAAACAGACTTCACTCCAAGGGCAATAAATGCATAGTGGAATTAGCAGATGCCCAGTGAGAAATGATTCGTCGATCGATGTCGAAATGATATCGAATCGACGTCAATTCGACGATGTCGATGTCGATCGACGAATCATTTCTCACTGGGTGGTGCCTATTAATTTAGCAGAAATTACGTCATCTCATATTAGGAGCCTTGTTCATAATAGGCGACTTCTTTAATATAATTAAAAGCAAAGTTTTTCGGAAACAAAATTCACGACAACAAGGAGAACTTCAGCTGAAATTGCTTGATAAATCGGTATATTAATGATGCAATATTTACATTTTGAGTTATCTGAATTGTAATTCTTGAAAATTTAGAAAATTCTTGGAATTTTGCAGAGTGTGTCTTCCTTTATTTATTACATTTATCTGATATTTTAGATTTTCTTATTAAATTCATTAAATGTGAAATTACGAGTCTTAAAACTTTTAATTAATGTATAATGGAAATAGGTGTGAAGTAATATTTACAAGTATTTTAAAAGTTACAAAATATATGATCCCAGATAGCACACATGGTTCTATGAACATTCTTTTGGAGTGCAAATATTCTTAATTTCAGAACATTCCAATCGAATATTCTATAAATATATATATTATTACAATTGGAAATCGTATATTCATAACGAAGGGGAACGTTTTCAGAATATTCGTCGAGAATGTCTTTGGAATATTTGTTCGGAATAATTTTTTAACATTCATCGAGTTTATGTATTGCGCATTGTTTATTGCGCAATACACTTATCTCGCGCAAAAGGCAGTGAAACCTGTGATCGTATCATGTATAACCGACACGCTATATTCGATAGATTATTCTATTCACATTTGAAAAACATTTATAGTAGTGTCAGTCGAATATTCTATGAACATAAGACAAATATATAAGAATGACCTATGGAATATTCCAAATATTCTTGAAGAATATTCTCAAAATGTTCACAGGAGTGTCTTGTGCTATCTGGGATATGCCATAGACACACATACATACGTAGATATTCTCCCTAAAATTCTATTTTGAAATCTAACATGAAGTAGTATAATTATCAAAAGCTGCATTGAGTTTTGTTATTAATTTTTGTATACGTATAAACGTATTAATTGATTCACAATCGTTATACAGCACGTAAAAACAATCTTATACATATTTCGTTGGGGTAGATGAAGTAGGGATGAAACGTCCAGGGTTGGGAAAGTTACTTTATAAAAATATCTAGTTACACTTGCAGTTCTCTCGCTAAAAATGTAAATAGTTACTGTTACAAGTTACCAATTCTGGAAAGTGACGCGTTACAGCTGCAGTTACAGTTGCTCAAAAAGTAACGAATCGTTACTTTGCAGTTACTTTCTTGCAAGAAAATTAAAATATCAAATCTGCATTTGAATTGTAAAACGTCGATAAAGGCGTTTATGCGCAAGTGCAAGGCCTAATGTGGATGTTTAGAAAAAATATATAAATTAAGTAACTATTAAATTAGTTGGTAACGAAGTTAAGTTAGAGTCACCAAAAGAGTAACTGCAACTGTAACTTCGTTACAAGTAACGAGTTGCTTCCCCACCCTGGAAACATCTATTCGATTTTGAGAGAGATAGATCAAAGAACCGGCGTCAGTTCACTGATGTGAGACATAACTCTCACCCGTCAAAGATTAGGTGGTAAATTTCGAGCTTTTTACGCTCGGTGGATTCAGGGGTTCAGTTGGCACGTGGCTGTGAGGAAACAGCACAAGGTTGCGTCCAGTAAGCGGACTTTCAGCAGGAACGCAGAAAGGGGGCACCTTGCGCCAGCTGTCCGACGTTCCTTTAGCCTGGAAAAGCCCGAGTCATCGGGCTTTGCTGTCTCTCTCTTCTTTGTCTCTTATTTGATTAAAGATACAGCGCATCCCCACACACATAGCACGTATTAAATTCGTGCCAACACGTGCCACACGTATCGTTCTCCAGAAGTGAGAATGAAACGTTCTCGAATTGTAAAATTTGTAGGGACAGTAAGTATAAGCGCAATTGACAAAAGTCTCGAGGAGAATAGATTGAACAAATTCAATTTACTCGTAAATCAATTACATAAATATTTGTCTAACACTTGCACAAAAATTGCCGGCATTCAAGAGTAGATTTTATGAATTTTGCTTAGATGATTTAAAATAGGTAAGGTAGTACAAAGTACTCAAGAGTTTACAATAAAGAATCCGGCTTATATTCACGCGTATGCACATGACGTGCGTTTCTTTCTTTCACGTATGCTGTTAACGTGCATACATTTCATGTATTTTATATAGAGATATTTTATATAAAGAGCCTTGCACTGGGAAACAAATTTTCGCCACCTACATTTTTCTTTCCGTGTACTGATATAACCAGTAATATCGTCAAATTGACAGTCGGTCTCGAAGCTCATTTCCAACCGCGTATTTATTTGCAAATCGGTACCACAAACGGATCGATGTGACCAATCGCCTTCGACAATACTGACCCGACGCACATCTATCGACGATAAAATTATAATTTACCACCGTCATTTTTCCTTAAAGATCATTAATTTATGGCTTTTGCGGTTTGCACCGTTCTGCTGATGGTTAATATGTTGCTCTGTCCCAATAATGATACTTATCGAAGTGAGTTGTCGGCGTAATTTTAAATTTGGGATACTTTCGTACCGCTGTTATGGTATGAATTTGGGTCCTTTCAGCTTACGTTATTGCAGTTTTCGTGGCTAAACGCGGTATCCTCCGGCTGCTTATAATCCACATTATGAAAGATGCCGCCTCGCGATCAGAGAGCGCACCCTTCATTGTGCCTGTTCCTCCGTTTACATTGATCTCGCCTTATCTTCTTGCATTTTTGTATTGTGCTGCATTTTGTTTTCTTTATCTCCTTTCTAATTTTTAATTATCAATTTTTGTTTTACGCTTGCTTTATTTCACTCGTAACCTTTATATAAAACTATTGAGAGAGACGCCTCAATTTAATAAAAACTTGAAGAAATTATCAAGAAGACAACTTAAATCAGCGATTAGAGATGAAGATAATTTTAGTATCATTATTATTATATAAAGTTGAAAAATATGTAATATTTTTATACCGCTTTCAATGCTTAGTTTACACAATGTGAAGTATATGTTTGTATCGCACATAAAAAACGCTCATTCTATTTTTTGAGGCTCGGCACAATACAAAAGTGTTAATAACGAAGGAATTGTTCAACATGCACTAAATGTACTTACGAGGTGTGTGAAACGATACAATGCAAAGACCATTCCTTATCGATCCGGGTAGCACGTGCCCGACCATAAGCGGGTGCAAATGAGTGGGCATAAAAATAAATGTCATGCAGAGAACGGAGTCTTACTAACGTACCCTCTTTCTTCTTCTCCACCGAAGGTCTCCCTTTCTCCTGGGAGGCAGTTAAATAGGGAGACAGCTGAAGATACTCGTGCATCATGTGCGCATACCGAATCGTACATGCACATTGCGTGCACATAGATTTATATATGGGAAAATAAACCCGTTGCGTGCTTCTGTCAGTCGTTAAGCGATAGTAAAAATATTTTTAATAAATTTCTTTAGTACGTTCACATAATAGGTTCAAGATTGTTTTCACAAATCAATTCGCGAGCGCCTCTCAATCATGCATATTTATCCGGTTCATTAAGATTTGTCGCTTTGTCGATCCGGCTAGAGAAGCTGCAGATCGATGGATTTATCAGTTTCGGAGACGCTTTGAAAGTTATACGCGACGTTTGTGGATCGAAGAATGCCACGCGTTTAAATTAGCACGGATTATTTATTGTCGTACATTTGGCCCAGTTTTTGAGATGCGCGCGTCGGGGTTGCCTTCGCAATTTCCAGATGACGACGACGATTTCTCATCACCGGCCGCGGTCTGCACATGCACGCGCATGACGTAGACGTATGTGCGTAACAGGCGCATACACGCGTACCGTCCATCGCGGTTGCAACCTGCGCGGACGAAGGGCACGCCGGTTTTCCTCGTATATCTGATCAGCCGGCGGAAGTGGGTGACGCGAACC